TTGAACTTATCACTGCCAACGAAGGGTCCTTACATACCCAACACTGTGTATGTGAAGCCTGAGTTAGGATTAATGGTCCTTGACTATGATGGTGAAGTCAGATTCCAAAGAATGTCTGAGTTACACCTATGCCCGATGGAACATCTCGGATACCTCAGGTTCTGGCTAGATAATGACTTCAGAGGTGAGATGATGGACCGCAAGATCAGAAGGGAGTTTCTATGTCGAAAGGAGCTTGGAGAAAATGTACCTGCTATATTAATCTGAACAACTTAGATTAGTTATTTCTTTTGTAAATTGTTCATTCTCTGTATGTCTTTTGTATTCTATATCGACTTTTAGTGTTCAAACTTATATATTGTAAGTCTAAGACATGTACTGAACTACTTGTAATATTTCCATTTGAAATTAATATAAGTGTTTTTTTTTGCATCACTGAAAAAGATCCCTAAAAAGAGTAATAGGGACACAAGTCTATGAGTTACAGTGTTTTTCTTACATTCACTGACAATCTATAAGTCAGTGAACATGCTTTCAGTTTCAGTTTTTCCTTCTTATACTTTTTCTTAAACTTGTAATTTAAGAAAATTTTCTAAGTAAAGACCGACTCACTGAAAAAGATCCCAAAACAGTTAAAAGGGACAGTTAAAAGGGGGAGATTGTTGATCCTCTCTCTTAGTGATTTGATGATAATCCCTTTTAACTTATACGAAGTATTATTGTTTCTGTCTTTCAGTTCCAGCGATCATCACTGAGTCTGTTCAGTGATCGCTGAGACATGTAATGTAAATCCATCAGCAACAGCGATACTTCAAGAAGACAAAACTCACACTAAAGGACCTTCAGCGAAAGTCAAAGAATGAAACTGAAGATTAGAGACTAGCGCGTTCGTGATTTGAAGCGACATTCAATGATTACAACCTGGTCAACATATGTGTCAAGACTGCCCAAGCCTCAGCGAATGCTAAAGAGACCTTCAGGGTTATTCCAGCATTCAACGATCAAATAAAGCTTGTTATGCAAGATTGTTTTTGTCTTGTCCTTCCACACACAAAGGACAAACCCATACCCTTTTTACAGTATAGTACAGTACGGAGCCGATTAGTTGACTCTACTACCCATCAACTCCATGAAATGATGTCTGCCTCATGAATAGGCTTTTGTACTATTCACTGTAGCAAAGGACAAGTCTTTCTCTAAAGGCTTGACGTGTGTTCAAACCCTACTGCATTGCATTAAATGTGCATTTAATGCAATGTGTATAAATAGATGTGTGATATCTCCATGCAGAGATATCTAATCCTTACGTGCATACGTGAAAGAACACACACACATCTAAGAACACATTCGCTTATCTTCAAAGCAAGTTAGAATCCCTTTTCAAGTATTCTAAATAGTTCTTACCCAAAAAGAACTCATTTTCTTCTTAGTCTTAAACAACAAATCTTTTCTCTTTGCTAAGATCATTTGTTTGTAACTTAGATTGTTTAGATAGATTATCTTTACCTTATCTTATTCCGCATACAATCTTGTAAAATATGTATTGATCATTCTTTATCAATATATATTTTAAATTTGAAAAGTTTACTGTGTTTGTAGCCATCCCCCCTTCTACAAACTGTTTCTAAATATCTTGTAGACCCTAACGGGACCAACATAAACCCTTATATGTATATATGTATATATAGGCAAAGCATCGTGTGAGAATGATAGTTAAGCTGAGAAGTATAAGAAAGGATCTGGACTCTTGACCACTTTAATCTCAAAGCTACCCATGAATTATGCTTGATATGGGGAATGATTCGTTGCATCTTATCTCGGTACATCTCATCCTAAGTGCATTTAAGGGTGGAGATTCATTCTTACGCTTCTCACCTTAACTCTTCTTCTCATCGAAAACCAACTATACACACACACACACACACACACACACATATATATATATATATATATATACTATAGTTTTTTTTATTAACCTGGATATCCAACCCGCTATACGAGCCGATTAAACTATAGTTACTAAATGTGAAATCTGGAAAATAATTTTTAATATATATGAACATTATAGATTACTACATGTGAAATTTGAAAAATAATTTTTAAAATAAAACCGAAAACATTGGTTTTGTTCATATGCAATTTGTCCAAAACATGAACTATTAATCCATGTCCTACGTGACTAAATAGTTGAAATTGATTGATGCATAAGTTGACAAAAAAAATAATCAAAATTGTGTCTTATCATTGTTTGTTGTGAGTTTAGGCCGCTTTTTACGGTTATTAGACAAATTAAACTGATAAATTAATTGGTAGCTGATAAATTAGCTGGTGATTGATAAGCTAGTTGACAACTGATAAACTAAATTATGAATAAATCATATTTGACAAAAACTAGCCAATAACCATGTAAATTATCAGCTAGAAAAATTAGAAAAATGACACTTAGAAAAATTAGTCAATTACAATATTTTTTATAATATAACTAAAATAAATAGATAATAATATGATATATTAATATAAACAAAAGAATAAAGAAAAATTAAAAGAATTTTAAATTAATTATTATATATATTATGAACTTTGAATTTGTTAAAACAAATTTTAGAAAAAAAGTTACACTAATTTATGATTTTATATTACCATTACATATAATATGAATAAAAATAAAATTAGTCAACCTTACATATCCTAATTACAAGACAAATATTTGATTTTCAATATCAGTAATTAATGTAGTGATGACTCATTACAATTTGAATTATAGAATACATTTCTTTGATCGTTTTTTACTAAACGAGTACGCAACGGGTTCCCATACCCGTAGAAATTCCTTTCCCCCGAACCCGTAGGGGATTAGACGGGACGGGTCGGGGACTGGGGGCTTTATGGGGATGGAGGTCGGGGATGGAGATGCATTCCCCCC